TTGGCCAGACATCCAGTTCTAACGCCGCCTGAGGAGTATTTTATTCTTTAAATATTGAGCTCTACAAACAAGGCAACTTGCGAGCGGGTCCACCTTCCTTCTGGCCCGCCCCTTTTTCTGTCCTTGTGTATATTTGCTGCTGCTCCTGCTGTGCAGGGGCGACGGGCTCACGCTTCGTTCCCCCCCCCCCGACTCTAAAGCGAGCTGAGGGACGTAAGGAGCGGAAGCGAGCGTGTGCCTGCAGCCGCGTCGTCTCAAGCGGCCGGCCGCCCAGATATGATTGTGCCTCACCGCGAGGCACACAATCGCTATCGAGACCAAAGGGATCTTCCGATTGCTTAAGATGGCACATCCTCTCCTACGGGGACTATCGCTACTACGATACAACAGAGCAGGAGCTTGGCTTCGCCTAAGGCCCCTTCAAACTGGGCCATTTCGGGCAGTCGTCGAGGCATACTGACTGGGCCATCGCGGTGTCCTTGGTAGCTTGCGCGGGCCGTCTTGGAAGCTCTGGTCGCGGAACCATCGTTTTTCCCAACCATCCTGTGATGGTGGGTCCTCGTTTTGAAGAGACAGCGCGCCGCGGCTCCTCTCCTCTCCTCTCCTCTCCTCTCCTCTCCTCTCCTCTCCTCTCCTCTCCTCTCCTCTCCTCTCTTTTGCTCCCCTCTCCTCTCCTCTTCTCTTTTCCTCCTCCCTCTCCTCTCTCCCGCTGCCCCTTCCCCATCCTCCCTCCTCCCATCCCTTGCCTTTGCCTTCCGCACGCCCATCCCATTCTTGCACACCCCTCACACGGTTCGTGGCCACATAAGGATTTCCACCGAATGCCCCAGTGGAAGGGTCCACGTGCGGGGTCCGCCACCCATTCTGGCACACCCATCACGAGGATCGTGGCCCCACAAAGAGCCCCACCGAAGGCCCCAGCGGCAGGGTCCGCATGCGGGGACCGCCGCCCATTTAGGCATACCCCTCATACGGTTCGTGCCCCAACAGGGAGTTTCACCGCAGGCCCTCGTTGCAGGGTCCGCATGCGGGGACCGCTACCAATTTTGGCACACCTTTCACAAGGATGGTGGCTCCACAGGGAGCTCCACCGAAGGTCGCAGCGACAGGGTGCGCATGCGGGGGCAGCCACCCATTTAGGCACACCCCTCACACGGTTCGTGGCCCTGCAGGGAGCTCCGCAGAAGGCCCCAGTGGCAGGGTCCGCATGCGGGGACCGCCACCAATTTAAGCACACCTCTCCGAAGGCTCCAGCGGCAGGGTCCGCATGCGGGGACCGCCACTCAATTTGGCACACCCCTCACACGGTTCGTGGCCCCGCAAGGAGTTCCACCGAATGCCCCAGTGGCAGGGTCCGCATGCGGGGTCCGTCACCCATTTAGGCACACCTCTCACACGGTTCGTGTCCCCACAGGGAGCTCCACCGCAGGCCCTCGTGGCAGGGTCCGCATGCGGGGTGGCACACCCTTCGCAAGGATCGTGGCCCCACGGGGAGCTCCACCGAAGGCCCCAGCGGCAGGGTCCGTATGCGGAGACCGCCACTCATGTAGGCACACCCCTCACACGATTCGTGGCGCGACAGTGAGTTCCACCAACGGCCTCAGTGGCAGAGTCCGCATGCGGGGACCGCCACCTATTTTGGCACACCCCTCGCGAGGATCGTGGCCCCACAAGGAGCTCCACCGACGGCCCCAGCGGCAGGGTCCGCATGCGGGGACCGTCACCCATTTAGGCACACCCTTCACACCGTTCGTGGACTCACAGGGAGTTCCACCGCAGGCCCTCGTTGCAGGGTCCGCATGCGGGGAACGTCACCCATGTAGGCACACCCTTCACACGGTTCGTGGACTCACAGGGAGTTCCACCGCAGGCCCTCGTGGCAAGGTCCGCATGCGGGGGCAGCCACCCATTTAGGCACACCTTTCACACGGCTCGTGGTCCTACAGGGAGCTCCACCGAAGGCCCCAGCGGCAGGGTCCGCATGCGGGGACCGCCACCCATTTAGGCACACTCATCACACGGTTCGTGGCCTAACAGGGTTCGTGGCCCAACATGGAGCTCCACCGCAGGCCCTCGTGGCTGGGTCCGCATGTGGGGACCGCCACCCATTTCGTCGCACCCCTCACACGGTTCGTGGTCCCACGGGGAGCTCCACCGAATGCCCCAGTAGTACAGGCTGTATGCGCCCGACGCCCGTGTTTCGCACACCCCTCACGAAGATCGTGGCCCCATATGGAGCTCCACCGAAAGCGGTACCCACAACGCGGTATTCACAATTGCGTATGGTTGGGTCTTTCGCCGGGATGATTAACGAGGCTTGGTAGCGCGGACCCGTTTTTGATACGAGCAACGAGGGGTCGTGGCTTCGAGGGGGGGGGGGCGATGCATGCAGGGAGATATTGGTAAGGGCGGGTGGGATGCCTTTCTTAGAATCCAGAACCCCTACCAGGCAGCCCTTGGCACCCTTCCACGCCTCAACGTACACAAGGCACTGTGGCTGATTTGGAATTGTCGATATGGCCTTGTATGGCGTGGCCTCCTATGGAGTCACTGGTTCTGCGTGTCGGGTTGGGCTGCGAGTGCTTGGCCTCCTATAGCCTCCCATGGGTCGGCCTCTTATGGCTGCTTGGCCTCTTGGCCTCCACTGTCTCCTTGGCCTCCTTCATGGCTGCCTGGCCTCCTACGGCTGGCTGTTTGGCCTCCTAAGGATTCCTGGCCTCTTGTGGACCCCTGTGACTTCACACGCGTTGCTCCAATAATCACTGGTTATGGGTCCACGCGCTGGCACTGTGATGGCGGAGTCCGTGCACATGCTGTTTAGGGTCTTCAGGCGGGGTGTCATACACGATTTCTCCCGATCAATTGCGCAGTGATGCTGGCGTGTGGGCGCCATGCCGTTCAAAGGGTCACGTAGGGCAAGCTGGGCAAGCAGCCCTGGGACATTTCAGGCACACAGTGCTTCATCATGTGCTTTCGATGCCAGACCCTACGCTACGAACCAGGCGATGTCGCCTCCAAGAGTAACTCTGCATACGTATCCTGGCATTGTAATGCTGTGCTGACGGTTGTTGCCCTGGAAAAAAACCGAAGTCGGCCAGCAGACAAGAGGAACTCTTCATACGTATCCTGCCCTTGTAATGGTATGCTGATGAGTGTTGCGCTGTGAGAGAACGCAGGTGATGGCTTAATGTTGGCGGGACAGTGTAAGCGGGGCGATCTTAGTGACGGGTGAATCCACGTCCACACGCCTGGGGCACGGGACCATGTGGGCGGAGCCTTTTGAGCGGGACCCGATGGGCGAGACCGTTTGAGCTGGACTTCGTGGGTGACGGCCGAACCCCTGCACCCATGTCACGAGATCTTGCCAGCGGGACCATATCAGTGACGGCCTGATCTCCATGTCCATGTCCCCAGACCTTCGGTGCGAGACGGTCGTGTCGGGACCTTGCGGGGCGGGGCCCGCAAGCGACTGTTGAACTCCCGCGCCTATGTCTCAGGTGTCGATGGGCGGGATCCTGTTACGCACGGGACCTTGTGGGCGAGTCCCTTTGAGCGGGACCTGATCGGGGACGGCACCTCATGCACGGGACCTGCTGGTGGGATTTTGTGCGTATGACCTTGTCGGCGACGGCCGAACCCCCGCACCCACATCACCGCACCCTATGAGCGTGACTCTCCCCATGCAGAGGTCTCTCTTAGCGCACCCTCTGGGCGGGACCGTTTTGGCGAGGACTGGGCACTTGCGCCCAAGTCAAGGGCCTTGTGGACCTTACCACCAGGACCTTGTGCGTGGACCTTACGGGTACGACCCGAGCAGCAACGGTCGAACGAACCTCAGCGTCCAAGATACGAGAACCCATGAGCGGGACATTATGCAATGCACCTCGTCAGCGGGTCCATTGGCGGTTCCCCACTGGCGGGATGCCATAGGCGGGACACTTGGCGGGACACTGTGCCCCTCCCCCCCCCCCTCGCTGATGTCACGGGACACTTTGAGCTGTATGTTTTGCACAGGACCTTGGGGGAGGGACTTGATCGGAAACGACAGAACCCTTGCGGCCATCTAACGGTCCGTGGGCGGGACCCTATCGACGACGGCCGACCCCCCCCCGCGCGCGCATGATGTGAGGTCCTGTGGGCGGGCCCTATGGGCGGGAACTCACGGGCGAGACCCTGTAGGAGACAGTCCGTGATGCATCTGGGTGTCACTGTGCCCTATGGGCGGGAATCTTTGCACAGGACCCACCGCCCGAGGTTACATTGGCGGCGACCACCTCCTTGCGCGCATGTCATGGCGCTCTATTGGCGGGACCGTGTGCACGGGACTTTGCGAGCGGGCGGGATCGTATCGGCGGTGGCCAAACGACGGCGCCCGTGTTGCCGGACCTTGCGGGCGGCGATTTATGGACGGGATGTTGTGGGCGGGATCCGATCGGCGACGCCCGATCACCCAACGACCACATTCCGATCTCCATGGGCGGGGCTTACGGGTGGGACCAGGTGGGCGGGGCCTGATGGGGGGGGACCGTGCCGGCGTCGGTCGGATCCCGTGCGTTCATGTCGCAGGATCCGTACGGGTTGGACCCCAAGGGCGGGCATCAGGCCAGGTCCCTCCAGGGGCGCGAAGATAGGCGCGCTTCGCGCGTCGCGGCCAGGGCCAGAGCGGTTGCCCTTTTCCAAGGGGGTGTCGCGAGGGTGCGAAGATAAGCACGCGTCGCGTATCGCGTGGCGTGAAGTCGGCCAATCCGGATGAGGCGTCGACGGCCCAGCCCCCACGTTTATGGCACGGGACTTCATGGGCGGGACTGTGTCGGCGGGGCCCGGCGTGTGGGACCCTATCAGCGACGGCAGACCCCCCGCGCCCATGTCACGGGACCCCATGGGCAGGACCTCGTGGCCCGGACCTCTTGCATGGGCGCATCGGGGACGCTTCCGTTGAATTTGTGCTCATCCTGGTGGCGGGTTGTGCGATGGCCTGGTGGCCCCACAGGGCCTGGTAGAGTTCAGGTATGACCTTTACGTGACACAGAAGAAGTGCGCACCAGATACGTTTCACCTTCCAGACATGGCTCCGCCCCCCTCGTGCGAGAAGGAAACCGGCGGGACCTGCAAGCTCCTTTGGTGCGATGCTAGTCGGAATGCGTACTGTGAGCAGGCCACTTCGTCCTGTCGGTGCCCGCCAGCCACCTGCGCGAGCGGCGGAGAGTGCAGGCCGCGCGGTTCACCACCCCTCGCGACATTGCCACCTACTGCGGTATTTGCGGAGGCCGCGGTGCCTGAGTCAGCCAGTGGCAGCCCGAAGATACTCATCGTGGTCCTTGCTGTGCTGATTGGGGTGGCCGCCGCCGCAAGGCAAAAGCGGAGCGGCTCCAGGAAAGTCATCTTGTCGGAGAGGCTACTCCAGTGAGAATCGGTCCATACTGAAGTCATCGCTGGTGAACCCGTCATGCTTTTACAGCTCAGTGTTGGGCAGCCTTATGGGGCGCCTGATGATTTGTATCACCTGTCTACGGCCCGTTCGTCACAGAAATCAGTCAAGGAATGTGCCAGCAGACTAAAATATCACAAGTCGGATCCTCACCATCAGCGCCGATGCCATTGGTGATCGCGATCATGGCCGAGGAGCAGGGAGAGGAGGGGGATGCGGGCGAACGGTCAATGGTGGAGTCAAGGCGGTCTCATGCTGCATGTCTCTGACTGATTCACAAGACTCGGCCATCGCGGCGGCTCACAAACGACGCGCCTGTCTCACTAGCGCTAGCGTCAAGAATCTACTCACAGTAGCTTTGCGCCTTATCGGCGCGGCGGCAGCGTACGCGCGCGCGCGAGCACTCACGATTGACGACCCCTGAGCATCTGGAGGACCCCGTCTCGTGGGATCGTCCAAGATGGAACGTGTCACGAGGTGACAGTTGCCCGTGTGGCTCCTCCGCCTCCCCGGCACTTCCCGTCTCCTGGGGGTGGTGTTGTTGGCACTACTGTTTTATCCAAACTGCCTGTTCCCCCAGCTCCTGCGCCATTTTTCACGGTACCGGTTATCCCAGCACCGCACTGGATGTGAATGCCAGCGCAAAGTTTGTTAGGCCTTCGACTCTGGGGATCGCCACATCGTGCGTATCGCGAAGCAACCGATTGGCCGCGGGCATTTCTACACCGCGAGGATGCCGAAGCAACGCGTCGCCGACAAGTGTTTGTGTGTGCTTTGGGCTATGTGGCTCGTGACGTTGACACAGTACGGAGCGTCCTGCTTGTTCTCATAGTGCCGATCTGGGACACTCATAGACATGCACGTGCTACGGTTGCGCACCCTCTTCCAGTCTCTTGATCATGATGCGGTCTACAGACTCGCGCTATTTCAGATTGCTTCAGCCGGGGACTTCTGTTGCCGTCTCACTACTTGTCTGAATTCCACCTTCGATCTATTTTGCAAGCTCCTAGGTCGGATAATGTTGCAGTTGCCATGCCTGTGGGAGGTGTTTTTCGCTCATCTGCCTGCAATCTGGGACATGCTCGTCGCTTACCATCTTTGGCGTAAGTGGATTTGCCGTCGTGCCGCCTGCCCGCGGCGAGCGCCAGTAGCTGAACGCGGAGTGAGACAGCGTTCGCTTCCTTCGCAAACCATGCGAAAGTGTGTGCGCATGTCCCGCAGCATTGCCAGCCGATCGGTTTCTGCAGCGCGCCGGGGAAAAGTGTGTATGCGTGCGGGTGCGAGAGGGGCCCGGCCCGAGCGTTTGGCTTCGCGCTGCGCGGTATTTGATGGTTAAGCTGTGTGCATAACGCAAGGGGTCTTCGTGCTAGTGCCCTCTAATGCCCTAGCGGAGCCAGGTCGAGGAGGAGCGTGCCTCTGTGAACTCCATCCTCCTGACCACGTCGCTGCTCATCCTCATCGGATGGGCAAGGGGCTGAATGAGGAAATTCGGAGGAGGAGGAGGAGGTACGGAGGTACGGATGATGATGATTATGATGATGATGCTGATGATGATGATGATGATGATGATGATGATGATGATGATGACGACGATAACGATGACGATGCTGATGCTGATGATGATGATGATGAGGAGGAGGAGGAGGAGGATGGGAAGAGGAGAAGGAGGATGACGATGAGGAAGAGGGAGAGGTATAGGAGGAGGAGGAGGAGGAGGGCGAGGAGCAGGAGGAAGAGGAGGAAGAGCAAAAGGATGATGAGGTGGAGCAGGAAGAAGAGAGAGAGAGAGAGAGGCAAAACAAAAAAGATGACGAGGAGGAGAGTGAGAGGATGAGGGCGAGGAAGGGCAGGAGCGAGAACATTCGTTTCTCGCATCCCATGGTTACATCTTTGATGGTGCCAGCGAGGGTAAGTTGGCAGTGGTCGTGTATCCTGACTGGTCTGCCAGCCTTCCGCTCGGCCGAGCCATCGATACTGGTGCTTAGCAGGATTGTGGGTCTTCTTGAAATTGGAATTCTTGCCCTGGAACGTCAAACCTTTGTCGTTTCGAATGCTCGTTTCCTGTGCGTGAATGCATGGCCCGAGACCCGACAGGTCATCGTCAGGCCCGACCGGGCTTGGAGTGTGAGTCGATTGCGATTTCGAGCGGGCAGTTCCGATGCTGTTCTAATTGGTTTTCGATGTTGTGCCGATGGCATGCCCCACGCAGCTTGCACCAGTTTCCGGATTTGTTCCAAAGCCATTGCGCGAAGGTGCCACGCTGGTGTTGCCGATGGCGCGGCAATACTCCCATTGATCGTCGATGCCTCGAGCCAGTCTTTCGAATGCAAATCGGCAGTACGCCATCCACCACCCCTGTCCTGAACGGATCATGGCCAGGCGTGTAGGTACAGTTCGTCTAACCACGGATAGCTGTGAAACGGACATGCCTTCATTCTTGCATACATGCGTACATCCTGGCAGCCACCCGCATAATGCCGTGTGCACACACCTAGATACAACGGTGTGTTGCGCAGCGCACATGGGGGGCACCATGAGCAGACGATACGTCGTTTGTTTCACAATTCGGTTGGCGTATCGGTGGATGATACTCTTGATTTGTTACGTTTTCAGTTCTGCCTGACCAGTGCGTGCGAGGATGATGGTTGGAGCAAGGATCGTTATTTTGGCAAAAGCTTGCGAGATGGGTCGCCACGCCATGCATGCACATGCCTTAACCGTTGGGTCCATGGCCGTGCCTCTGGACATGATGTGTCCTTCTTTGGGTCAGGGTTGGTGCAGACTCGGGGATTGGTGAACGACATGCCTGTGATTCGCTGGCCGTGCGTCACCAGCACGCGATCGAGTGGGCCATACGTATCTTCCAGATTCGTTGGCCGCGTGCCACTAGCACACTTTCGAATTGTGCCCAGTGTGGTTCGTCCAGCAAGTCGCTGACAGCGATGGCTCAGGAGTGGGAGAGGGGGATTATGTGATAGGGCAGGCTCGCGTTGCAGCTGTCTCTCGTGGGTGAAGCTCAGTCTCTATCCTCGAGACATCCTTGCATCTCGCATGCGAGGAGTCGGATACAGGATCAACACGCACCGACTCAGGCACCCTGGCCACCACGGGGGTGCTTGCGGCAAGGCTATGTGAACGGGACGCGGTGAAGAACACGTGACAACGACAAGATGGGGCGGGCAGACGAAGGAACACGAGGAGGATGGGCAAAGAGAAGGAGGACGAGAACGACAAGGAGGGGACGGTGACCCATCATCGGAGTCATGTGTCCACGCAGGCAAACGACAATAGCAGGACAAGCACACATGCGCAGTGATGCAGGGCATGGCGAGGCAGCCGGACTCGGGAAGGCCATCACAGCCAAGGCAGATGCAGGTCATCAGCCTCACAGTGGGTCCCAGCTTCCGTGGCCCCTCGTAGAGATCTTTCGCTTTTTCCCAAGCTGTTCAGTCGACCTCCGATTGTCCGGCCAGTCCTGTCCTGTCCTGTCCTGCTCCTCTTCCTTCTCCTCGTCCCCCTCCTTCTGCTCCTCTTTTGCCTTTCGTTTTCCTCCTGTTCCTGTTTTTCTTACATGCGCTTGCGCAGAGCCTTCGGGCGTTCCCAGTGGCCTCCGCGCGGCCGCGCGGGGGCCGACCCTTTCCGGAGGGGGGGGGAGGAGGGAGGCCACCATGCTAACCATTCTATCCTGCGGCCCACGAAGAGGAGGGGAAGGAGGAGCGGCCAGGGCGCTCATGATGCACTTGATGCAGACGTGGTATCTTGCCAGTAGCGTAGTACTTGTAGTACCCTTGTCCGAAACGCTGTGCCGGCCCTGGATGTTATGCCGGCAGCATGCTGTACAAATGGCTTCCTGTTTGCGGCTTCCGCCGAATTGTAGCTCTGCCCGTCGTGGGTTCTCGGCCGTTCTCCCCTTGGACCGTAGTCTGCAGGGCGTCGATACGTATTGCTACGCAGTCGACGTAGTTCTTGCCGAGCTTCGCCTCGACAGTGTCACCTATGGGGATCGATCGCTTGGTCTCCTTGGGCTCCCGATTGTGGCAGTGCCCTTCCGCCTCGTCATTGTCGAGCTTCTCAAAGGCCATGTCCAAAATCACTACGTTGATGTCTGGAGTGGGCCCGTGCTTCTTTTACTTGTCACGTTTTGCCACAGCTGCTCCCGTAGCTGCTGGAGATGTGTTTCCGTGTGCTCCCCCTGCAAGGCCTGTGGCACCGATTGTAGATCCAGTCGTGGACGGCCCACACGAGCTCCGCAGAGGTCCTCGAAGCTCAGCCGGAGGTCCTTGTAGCACAGCACGTGGTCCTCGTGGTTCAGCTGGTGGCCCCAGTAGCTCTGCTGGAGTTTCTCGTCGGTCAGTTTGTGGCTCCGCTAGCTCCGCTGGTGGCTCTCGTAGCTCAGGAGGTGGCCTTGGTAGCACCGCTGTCGAATCTCGTAGCTCAGCCTCTGGCCTGTAGCTCCGCTGGTAGCACGCGTAGCGCAGCTAGTGGCTCTCGGAGCTCTGCTTGCGGCCCTCGTAGCTCCTTTTGCTGCCCTCGAGGCTCGGCAGGTGGTCCTCGTAGCCGTGCTGGAAGCTCTCGAGGCTCTGCTCAGCTCGCGGCTCTTGTAGTTCAGCTGGTGGCTCTCGTAGTTCTGCTCGGGGTTCTCGCTGCTCAGATGGTGTCCTGGTGTCCCTTGTAGCTCAGCCGGTGATCCTCGTAGGCCTGCGTTTGGCCATTGTAGCCCAGCCTGTGGCCCTCGTAGCTCAGCAGGTGGCCCTTGTAGCTCTCGTAGCTGTGCCTGTCGTCCTCGTAGCTCAGCTCGCAGTCCTTGAGGCTGTGCCGGTTGGTCTCGTAGCAGTGCTTCTGGGCCTCGTGGTTCAGCTTCTGGTCCTCGGAGGTCAGCTGGGAGCCCTGGTAGCTTCTGGTGGCTGTAGTAGCTGTGCCTGTGGTCCTCGAAGCTATGGTAGCTGTCCTCGTAGCCCAGCTTTTGCCTAGGTAGCTCAGCTGGTCGTTCTCGTAATTCAGCTGGTAGCCCTCGTAGCGCAGCAGATGGGCCTCGTGCTTCAGCTGGTGGTCCTGTTAGTCCTGCTTGTGACCTTCGTAGCTCAGCTTGCGGACCGCGTGGTTCAGCTAGTGGCTCTCGTGGCTCTGCTGGTTGCTCTCGTAGCCTGGCAGGTGGGTCTTGCGGCTCTTCTGGTGGTTTTCGTAGCTGCGCCCGTGGTCCTCATAGCTCAGCTTGTGGTCCTCGAAGAGCCGCTGGTGGTCCTGGTACCTGGTAGCTCTGCTGGTGGCTGTAGTGGCTCTGCTCGTTGTCCTCGTAGCTTTCCAGGTGGACCTCGTGGCTCTGCCGATGGCTCTCGAAGCTCTACTCTCAGCTCTCGTAGCTGAGCTGGTGGCTCTGGTACCTCTCCCGGTAGTTTACGTAGCTCTGCTGGTGGCTCAGCTGGTGGGCCTCGTAGCCCTGCTTGTGGCTCACATAGGTAAGCTCGCGGTCCTTGTAGTTCAGCTTGTGCCTCTCATGGCCCTGTTGGTAGCTCTCGTAGCTCGGCAGGTGAGTCTTGAAGCACTTGTGGTGGCTCTCGTAGCTGTTCGTGTAGTCCTCGTAATTCAGCTTGTGATCCCCGAAGGTCGTCTGGTGCCCCTGGTAGCTCTGCTGGTGGCTGTGGTAGCTCAGAGGGCACGCGCTCTTCGTAGTCCCCAAGGTCCGAATCGGAGTCGTCGGCTGCCAAGTCGTGGTGTTCCACATTTTGGAAGCTGGAGAAGTCCTGGGGGTCGTAGGAGTACTGGTCGCTATCGAATATCGTAGTCGTAGTCGTAGTATATGGCGCGGCCGTAGTCGTGCATGTCGTCGGCGGCGTGGCCAGTGTCCACCGGTACTTCTACGACGAAGTATTCAGTCACGCCTTCGGGCTGAAAGGTCGTGTCGTTCCTGGTGTCGGTCTTGGTGGCGCACTTGGTGTCGTAAGTGTGGTGGTCGTCCTTGGGCTGCCTGTTGCGCAGCTCGTTCTCGCACCCAGGTTGCCTGTCACCCAGGTCGTGCTTGGAAGCTCTCGCGAGGGCGGTCGTTGCAATGATGATGATGTCGTCGGGTCGAGGCTGTATCCCATGCCAGAGGTTGTACCCCACTCGTTTTTGGGCCGCGTCGGTTCGCGCCCGTGGTCTCGGCGTCTCCACAAGAGTGAGTCAGTCTTGTAGCCCTGGTAGTTCAACAACTGGTGGTTGATGTCGTCGTCGCCGTGGCGGCGCCCCCTGGCCGCGGCCGCGGTCTGGGGTCTGAGGCCGGCCCGCTGGGCGAGCGGCGCGCGCGCGGGCGAGTGCGTGCGGGGGATGGATCCCGCATGAGGCCTTCTTTTTTCTCCTCTTGCCCCTCCTCCGTTTCCGCCTCCTCCTCCATCTTTCGGATCAGGAGGTCCTCCTCGTCGCAAGAGCAGGCGTGTCGTTAGGGTGGTCTGCGCTGTTCAGCTGGGACGTCATTACTGCTTATGATCCTGAAGCGTAGCAGTTCAAACGCGCACACGGATGAAGTGCGCATGGTTTTCAACATGTTTCTCTTGCCCAACCACCGCGCATATTGATCATAGAAGCTGCCAGCAGTTACAATGATGGATCGTGTGTTGATGTCAACATGTGGTTCTCGCCTGAACGCCGCGCGCATTCTTCTGACCGTCTCCAACATCTACAAGGATTGAGTGCAGCTCCTTTCCAAACTGGGGCTCTCGCTTGCGACGTTTTTGAACAACAGCACCATACGAATAGTACGCGCATCGCTTATCAGGATCGAGGGCTCACCAAACTTTGGCTCTCGATTGAGACGCGTCCTCGAATGCATATGTCTGAAGTGCACACTTGTGTTAGGTCGGGCACGTCCCCCTACAGGGGGATTTTTGGGGAAAAAGTTATGATACCCCAAAATATTTCCCAGATGCTAAGCAATAGTAAACAAATCGTCCCCAGACTATTTTTGTGCTATTTTTTTGAATTTCGGTTCTGTAGAGGGACAGGCCCGACTCAACACGTGTGCAACCACTGCACGGGGGGAGGGCGGCTCGTCTTCAGAGCGGGGATCTCGCTCGACACCTCCTTGGTCTTTCAGCTTGCTGGTTTGACCCTGCGTGTGCCATACACCGAACAGGGTGCAGGGCAGTCTTTCTCAAAACAGGGCTCTCCCCTGCCAATGGGGCGCTCGTCTTTCAGAGGCGGCCTTCCCGTCGTGACAGGAATGCCTTCAAAGACCGAGGGAGGGGACTTGGGGCGTATTGCAACCTAGTTGGCGCATGTTGGGTTTACTCTAGTCCTCCTCCTCCTCCTCCTCCTTCCTCCTCCTCCTCTTCATCCTCCTCCTCCACAATTACTCAATGTGAATACTACTCTCCCTCTTCCCCTGATGACGTGCTGGGAGTGTTCGACCCCCCCCCCCCCGCGTACTATTTTTTAACACACAGGATTCCCGGGAGTTGGGTTTTCGCTTGCCATTTTTTTTTTTTTTTTTTTTTTTTTCAAAATGCTGCTCTCGTGAGGCGCCGCCTCATTTTCCGTGCTTCCGCTCGTTCCGAATCGTGCTCCCGCTGCAGCGCTGGCCTCATTTCCGTGCTTCCGCTCGTTCCGAATCGTGCTCCCGCTGCAGCGCTGGCCTCATTTCCGCGCTTCCGCTCGTTTCGACTCGTGCTCCCGCTGCAGCGCTGGCGTCATTTCCCGTGCCATGCCACGGCATGCAATGCAATGCTAGGTTGATACTACGCTTTGCGGTGCTCTTCTACGCCATGCCATGCCGTGCTCTACAATGCATCGCGTACCCTTTCGCGATCATTGCCCTGCTCGACATCCGACTGTGCGAGTAGAGAGGGGATCTACGCCATGGTAAGGGATGGGAGGGAGGGGTAGGATGTCAGATACGACGCGAGCGCACCTAGCTTGTCCTCCCCCCTCCCTCCCTCCCTTCCTCCCTCCCTCCCCCGTAGCCATTTTGGCTAAAGCCAGCCTCAAGCCCCCTGGTCGTTATTTCCTCCGCGCATGGGCGGTCCGGAGTGTGGCGCTGCAGGGTCTTAAAGAGGCTTGGGATGGCCCGGGATGGGTCGCCCTCTGGTGATCTCGGATTTTGTTTACGTCTGTTCGACGGCGCAGCGCTCGGCTGCGCAGCGGCGGGCCCGCGCCGCTGCGGCTCGTGGCGTCACCGTGGCCCGTTCCGAAGTGGAGCAGCTGAAGGCTAAAGTCGAGCTGATAAAGCAGTCTCGCACCGCCGATTCGCGCGCGCAGCAGGCTAGCATGCCATTGACGCCCTATTTCCACGTCCCGAACTTCGCGATGAGCTCGCCCAACGGCTACGGTCGCTCGGGGCGGCACTCCTGGTTTATGCGCAGCTGGATGCTGGCCTGGGTGCGCATTCTCACAGGCTAGGGGACACGATTCGCTCGGTTGAGCAGCTCCTCGACGTTCACCCCAAGATCTCGGCGCACTGGTGCGGCATCAAAAAGGCGACCGACTGGGGCGGCATCAAAAAGCAGCTGGTGGCGGAGTCTGCGGGCAGCGCGGAGCAGGAGCAGGATCTTGCCCCCGTCCTGCATGCGCTGGAGGTGGCGGAGTATGCGGTGGAGCCCAAGGAACATGCCGCAGCGCCGCTGAATGTGCCTAAGGCGCTTGGCATGAGGTGCGCATGTGGCGCGCTGGTTTTCTCGTCGTGCGCTGAGCCTTCTGCTGGCGCGCCGCGCGGGACGGGGACGCCCTGGCTCGCGGTGAAAAAGCACTTCGAGTTCAGGTCCGATGCGGAATGCGTCGTGCCGCTTGAGGAGCTCAATCTACGGGGTGTCGGCTTTCCAGGAGTGGACAGGCGCCCGGCCAAGGGGCAGCCGTTTGTTCGCCGCCGTGCGCGTCTCGACGCCGAGGCCGCCCGTTGCAGCGGCGCTGATCAACAAGACCCGTCCGGCGCCGATCCCGAGGTCGACGCGGTCTGGGCAGCTGAGCGGGAGAGGCTTTTGCGAGACGTCGATGCTCTACGGGATCTTCGTGGACAACCTCGTGTTTCTCGGCCTGCCGCGGTTGATATTTCCCAGAACACCGACATCGCCTTATTATCCCGCATTCTCGGCGAGACCAAGGCTGCAGTGGCTAGAGCAGCGCCCATGCCTGCTCCACCTGGCGCCCCGCCTGTCGATGGTTGCAAGCAGCAGTGAGGCATTCCGTGGGGTCCTGTGCGCACGTGTTTCGATCAATTTTATATTGGACTGCGGAGGTACGTGAGATGGTGAACGCATTCCAGGTATCTGGCTGGCGTGGGGGCGCTTCGTCGTGGAGTTCATCCATGTCGCCGCCTTCCCCGCGGAGGTAAGACAGGGGGGCCCAACCAAATGGCGCCATCATTGAGTGTCCTGTATATGTTTCGTCTTCTTCGGCTCCTGGCCCGTCGTGGCTTTCGGGGAGTTCTGAGAGAGAAGGGATTTGGTATGTGATATCGCCTCGCTATTGTTCTTGTTCCGGTTCCGGTTCCAGTTCCCTCCCTCCCTCCTTCCCTCCCTCCCTCCCTGCCCCCCTCCCTCCCTCCCTCCCTCCCTGCGGACCGCGTGTCCGCGCCGACACCGCCGCGCCCGCGCGCGGGCCCGCGCGCCGCGCGCCTGGCGGGGGCCGCTGCCGGCGCCCCGGCGGCCGCCGCCGCCGTCCGCGCGGGACGTGGCCGAGTCGCCGGCCGACTCGGCCAACCCGCGCTCGGGCGGGAGTGCCCCGCGCCGCCGCGCGCCCGGGCCGCTGCCGCCGCCCCGGCGGCCGCCGCCGCTGCCCGCGCGGGAAATGGCCGAGTCGGACGCCGCCCGACTCGGCCAACCCGCGCTCGGGCGGGAGCCGCCCGCGAGCCCCCCCTGCCGCCGCCCGCCGGCGTCGCGCCTCCTCCGCAGCTGCCCGCCGCCGCGCTCGCCCCTGCCTCCTCGTGCCCGGCGCCGCGTCTACCGTTTAGCCCCCGGCGCGGCGCCTGCCCCTCCAGTGAGCTAGGCTCGCGCGGCCGCTTGAGAGGCGCGCAGGACCGTTTGGGCCCGCGCCCCCGCTGCAGAGCCTCCCTCCCTCCCTCCCCCTCCCTGCTCTCCCTCCTTCCTCCTCTCCCTCCCTCCCTCCCTCCTCCATCCCTCCTCCCTCCGCCTCTTCTTCCTCCTCCTTTCTCCTCCCCCTCCCAGGGAACCTGGCGCCCCCCACGAAAAGGCGGCCACTCATTAGGCCACCGCACCATCCTCTTGAGGACCAATCCTCCTTCCTTCCTCTCCTCTCCTCCCTCCTCTCTCCCTCCCCCTCCTCCTCCCTCCACCTCTCCTCCCTCCCTCCTCCCTCCCTCCCCCTCTTCCTCCTTCCTCCTGCCTCTCCTCTCCTCCCTTCTCCCCCCCGGGGGTCTGCAGGGCATGTGACGGGACTCTGCCCGGGCGCGCGCAGGGAGGGGGCCGCTCGTCGCAGGCACGTGCCCGAGAGCGGCGTGGCCATGCTTTTCGGCTTCGCCTTCGGCATCGCCGTCAGGGTCCTCGACCTGCCTCAGGAGGACGCACATCCCGCCGCCGCCCCGTCCTCCTTCTCCTCCTCCTCCATCTCCTCCTCCTCGACCCTCTTCTTCTTCCTCCTCCTCCTCCGTAGCCATTGTGGCGCAAGACGGTTTCTTTTGTTTTGTTCCTGCAAGCTTACTCATGTCGCATTTCGCTCGTTACTTTGTTTCTCATGGAGGAGGCTTGTGGTCATGTCTCTTATGTTGCTGCGAACGCCCTTCGCACTCTCGCGGCACATTCTGGCAAACATTATTCTGGCCTCGGATGCGCAGTGCATGATCATAGGAAGCTGTTGTCATCGCCTACACGGCGCCGGCTGCAACACAACATCGGTATAACATTTCAGTTTTTACGACATCATACGGTGCCGTGGGAGGACTTTTTCTTTAATGCTCTCACGGACGAGCTTTCACAGGCTTGCCCTGGGTGGCCGGTCCCTCCCACAATTCTGGCTTGGCGTTATGCGGGAGTTAGGGTCAATCGTGATAGTGGATTGCGCAAACATGCTCCCGAGTTTGTTCCTGATCAGGCTGCCCTCAGTACTGCCACGGTTTCGACGCCGTCACCCCTTCTGCTGATTCCTGATCTTTTGCAGCAGGCGCAGGTCTGCTACGATGCACAATTTGCGTCTTATGCTGGTCTTGTTGAAGCGCAAAATAGCACCATTGGTCGCCTGCAGGGCTTACTGGATAAGCTCGGGGAGAAGACGCATTGGTCGGAGAGCTCTGGATACAGTTCCGCAGAAGAGTCACACTCGTCTATCTCGTCGCGTGGTTCTCGGAGTGGGCAGGGTCTGGAGATGTCATCCGAGCTTGCTGCTACTATTAACGACAAGATTTCTTCTGCGGTCAACGCTGCTGTGTTTCCTGCGATGGTCGACGAAAAGATCAATGGAGCCATTCGGGACGTCTATCAGTCTTTCCCGGCCATGGTCAAGGAATCAATTCGGAATAGTGTTGATAGGTCTATTGAATCTTGCTTGTCTCAAGGTGTTGAAGGTAGGCTTCTTAAGGTTCTTGATGTGACGAAGGCTTCAGAGCAGAGCCTAGAGCGCAAATTCTCGGCGTGCGTGGAGCAGCTTACTGTGCAGATTGCCGATATCGAGTCGGAGCTCCGCGCGCTACGCAGCCGCTCGGCGGAATTCTCGGTCGAGCTCAAGGCCCTTGCCGCTCGTGTCGAGGTTCAGGCTGCTGCTCGTGCTGGTCCGCAAGGAGGCACCACGGGCGCTGGTGTCTGCAAGTGCGGTAAGGCTTGCCATCGACGTGATTGCGTGTTCGACCATCCGCAGGGGCGCACGATTGATGAGGTTTCAGAGAAAGCGAAGGCGTCGAGTGCTTCGCAGCCTCCCTCTGGACAGGCAGGCGATGGCCCAATGCGGATCAATCCGCGTGCTTCGCCAATAAATTATTCGAAGTTAGAGAATATTGTATTCGAGGACGCTATTGACGACCTTCTCGGCGGTACGCTCGGCACAGATCCCACGGTCATTCTCCCACCTGAGCCCGCTGTCGATTGAGGGCTGTGCAGGCAAATCAATATTTTGGATGGGTGGTGCTTCTTCTTCGACCTGCCCGTCGCGATCTTGGGGTGAGCTGGCGTGAGCTGGCGTTTTCCTCGCATACTTGTTGTTCGTCTTCTTCTTCTTCCTGGATTTTCTTTTCATTGAGGTTCTAATGTAGGGGGCTTCCGCCATCTCTCATTCACCACGCGGGGTGGGCGGATTGTCTCCCGTGTCATGTCGCAGACTTTCCTTGGGCACGCTCCACCTCCTCCTCCTCCTCCTCCTCCTCCTCCTCCTCCTCCTCCTCCTCCTCCTCCTCCTCCCCCTCCTCCCTCCTCCTCCTCCTCCTCCCTCCTCCTCTCCTTTTCCTTCTCCTCCTCCTCCCACGGCGCGCGCGGGTCTGTCCCGCGCCCGGCGCACTGTGATCGGGAGCCATCAGACACCTCTGCCGCCCGCCCCTCAAGGAGGGCAGCTTCCCCGGGCCCCTCGGGGGTGGCCATCCATGTAAGACGGCGGCCGCTCCTGTGCGGGAGGGGTCTGCCGGCCCTGGCCCATCAACTCCGTCACCTGGGAGCGCGGCCAGCACTGCGAGGAAGGCGTAGCCATCGCTCGTGGGCGCCGGGCGGCCGGCGCGGCCTGCTGCGGCCGCCCGCCGCCCCGGCTGCGCTCGCCCCCCGGGCCCCCGGCAGCGCCACGCCGCCGCCAGCCTCCCCCGGCGGCCCAGCGGCGCGCTCCGGCCGCCGCCGCCCAGCGCCGCTTCGGCCCCCCGCCAACAGCAGCGTCGCGCGTCTGCCGCCGCCAGCTCCGCGCCGTACTGCCGACTGCCTGGCGCGAGCCGTCAGCTTAGCGCAGGCCCGCTACCCGAGCACCAGCCTGTCGCGCTGACGGCCCGCTGTTTTGCCCGCGGCTGGTCAGCAGGCGCGCGCGCTCGGCCGTCAGCCCCGCCTAGCCTCTCGCCAAGGCTGGTACTGTGTGGCCGCCAACGCGGCATCTGCCGCTTGCCGTTGCAGGACGCTACCCAAGGCTTGGTGCAGGCGACGGATCAGCGCCGACCGCGCAGCCGCTTCTTGCGGGGCCAGCCAGCGGAGCAGCGCCCCCGCGCTTTCCCCGACCCCGAGGGCCGCCTGGGCGTCCCCAGGCGGACGGCGGCCACAGCTCGGCAGATCGTCATCTTCCTCGAGGAAGACGTCGAACTTCCGAGGTGGTCCCGCCGAATTCGACGAGGAAGACGACGAACTCCCGAGGAAAACGACAGAGGCGACGAAGGCGATCGTTATCGTCGCTTTCCTCTTCTTCGTCGCCTCCGTCGTCGTCGCCTTCCCCCGAAACTTCCAGCTTCCTCCTCCCAGCGTCAGGCGCCCGCCCTGGCGAAGCTCAGAACTTCCTCGTCGGCTCCGCGGGGGGCCTCTCGCCTCGCGGTGCGGACGCGGCTACGGCTCGGGGGTGACCGGGAGGGGTCCCCAGGCGGCCGTGGTCTTCGATGCCGAACGGGACCGCCGGCGCGCCGGGGTAGCGCGCGCGCCTGCGGCGCTCCGCAGCTGCCGCAGCAGCGCCCTCGCGGCGCGGTAAGGCCGATGCGGAGGGCGTCCTGGCTCAGGGAACCGACCACCGTGAGGTCCACGAGGTTGGACGCGCCCTCCCAAGGCGTGAGAGTGGTTAGGTTTATGCGGGCATCCGGGCGCGTGGATGGGTCGTCTGGGCCAGTTTCTCCACGCCGACGTCGCCGATGCACCGCTGACGTCCCCGATACATCGGCGATTCATCGGCGATGCCGCGCGATCCTCCGACCCCATCTACTCGGACCCCATCCAGGAGGCCTCTAATGCGGGCCTCCGGGTTGACTGGCGCCGCATGGGGCACCAATGCTTCTCTGTGCACGGTGCACCCCTGCTCCTCGCACAACTCAGCGAGCGCTGCGCACCCAGCATCGTGCCGGCGCACGCGCCAGCCGACTCAGGGCGTTAGGATGTCATGGCTTGGGCCATGGAGTCTCCCAAATTTCACGGCCCCCTCATCTTCTCTCAAGAGGTTCCCTGCCTCCCCTCGTCCGCGCACGTGCTTCGGACCGTGGTCAGGAGTTTGCCCATCGCAGGTCGGCTTGCGTGGGGTTCCCTGTTCGCCTGGCGACCTCTTGCTTCGCACAGCGGTCGAGGCCGAACCGGGGCAGAAAAACAAAGACATGCCTCGGGCTGCGTTGCGTTACAGTCAAGGCGCTGATAGAAGGGCCACTTTGGGCCACTGTCGGGCCGTTCCTTAGATCTAGGCCGGGGGACCTATTCGTTGCCGAGGCCAGACGTGGTCAGGCCTGTCCCTTCGTTCCTTCTTTGGCTGTCCTTCCGGTGCCACGATGACTGTAACCCCCCCCCTCTTCCTTGCCCGCCTCTGGGGCGCACCCGACGGTCTACCCCGCTGCGTCTGCCCCGCAAGCGGGTCCCTGCGTCTACCCCGCCGGCTCCGTCTGCGCCTACCCCGCTGCGCCCGCCCTCCCTGGCCCGCCTCTGGGGCGCACCCGACGCTCGAGCTCTCTGCGGCCCGTGTCGGGGAGGCCGCCTCCTCGAGGACGTCCGCGGGCGCCCGCAGGCGACAGGCGCCTGGCGCCTGGCGCCCCGCGCGGCGCGGGGCCGGGGCTGGCCGCAGGGATTCGGCCCGGGCCGCGCCAGAGCACGGCGGTGCAGACGGCTGGACGGCCGGGGCCGAGGCCAAAGGCCGGGGGCTTTCGGCCCAGGGCCCAGGATCGGCGACCGTCGAGGTGGATCAGTATCGGCAGCGCGCCTGGGGGGTGGGCAGTGAGAAGGGGCGGGCCTTGTCAGAAGGGCCGGAAGTCCCCCTGGCCTTCGTGACCTGCGCCTTCCCTGAAGACACCGAAGAACAGAAGAACACCTCTCAGACGGCCTGAGAAGTCCCACCGCCTTCTGAGAAGGCCTTGTCCTCCTCACTTGCCCCCCTCGCTCGCCGCCGATAGGTCGACCCTGCCAAATCAAGGGTACCCTTGTGTCCAGTGCTTCGCGATCCATGCCTGCCACATTCCTATGGCAATTGTGCCCTCGGGAGGGTCTTGTGTCTTCTCGCGTGTCCTCCCCAACCATCCTCGACTGTACGCGTAACCTTGGTCCAGGTCAAAGGATCGGCCAAGGATCGGCTTCGCTGGCACAAGGTTCGGTGAAAGGGTCGGTCAAAGGGTCGGCCAAAGGGACGGCCAAAGGGTCGGGGTGTTTTCGGCCCAGGGCAGAGGATCGTCCAATGAGGGCCAAGGATGGGCCCAGGGCTAAGGATCGGCTTCGCCGGACTGACCTTTGGTGCGGGCCCGCAGCGTCCCCCCAGCAGTGGTCCGCACGCTTGGATTTGGACCCTTCGCGGCTTCCTAAAGCCGCGCGCCAAGGGTCACCCGTAACGTAACCAGGGTCACTCTTGCGTGAAGGAGGGGCTGGCCCCACGCAGTCAGCTCCCTGGCGCGTCATTGGCAGGCCACTGCTGGGAGGGCCAGCGGCGGCGGGCGATATAGATGGCGAGCCAAGGCAAGGGGCAGCCAGGGCCTGCCGGAGTCGGTGCTCGTGGCGGCAAGCGGAAATCGTGGGACGCCAGGGCGAGGTGCTAGCTGGGGCTAGTCGGGACTCGTTGCTGCCAGCGGAATTGGCGGTGTGCACTTGGGCGCTGGGCTTGCTGGGCCTGCTGGCTGCAAGCGGAGTGGGCGGCTCATAGTATTTCCTGGACTCGAAGCCAGGGCAGGAGCCCCTCAGTGCAAGCCCTCCTCGAGGAGGAGGAAGAGGAGGCGGCCTTGGCCTTGTGCCATAAGCTAGCAACCAGCATGAACTTCGGCGTGTGCTCGAGCGGAGGGGCGTCGGCATCCTCCCGCATGCTAGTCCATTGTGACATCGAAGACCGAGCCTCGCACGGCGCCATGACATGGTTCGTCAATTACCGTAAGCGTCGTCTTCGCGATCGCTGCGAGTGCGTCCGATGCGGAGCCCGCTGTCCCCAGGAGTCCATTCTCGTTTTCAAGAACAACGTCTTCTTCTACGGATTGCTGCCGCCCATCATCTTCGAGGCTGGGACAAGGGATAGCGAAGGAGGGAATGATAATAGGACAAGCACGAGGAGGTGGTGGATGTGGAGGAGGAGGGGTTGGAGATGGACGTGGAGGGAGAGGAGGAGGGAAGCGGATTCAGAAGGGGACAGTGCTGCTGATGATGATGATGATGATGATGATGATGATGATGGTGATGGTGATGGTGATGGTGATGGTGATGGTGATGGTGATGGTGATGGTGATGGTGAGGATGAGGATGAGGATGAGGATGCTGCTGCTGCTGCTGACGATGATGATGCTGATGATGATGAGGATGATGAGTATGATGCTGATGCTGATGATGGTTGTGGTGGCCATGGTGCTGATGATGTTGTCGATGACTGCAATAACGCAGATGATGTTGATTATGCTGATTATTCTTATGATGATGGTGATGACGATGATGTCGGTGATGATGCTGATGATGATGGTGATGATAAAGAAACTGATGATGCTGATGATGCTGATGATGATGACGATGATTATGATGATGAGTATGATGACGATGCTGATGCTGTTGATGATGAGTATTATCATTATTATTATGCTGCTGCTTCTGATGATGATGATGATGATCATCATCATCATTATCATCATGAGGAGGAGGCGGAGGAGGAGGAGGAGGAAGATGAGGAGAAGGAGAAGGAAGAGGAGGAGGAGGAGCGAGGAGGGAGGAAGAGCAGAGGGCTCCCCATTCGCATCTCCGTCGGGGGCGTGCTGCTCTCCGACGGCGACACGGCGCCGCGGTTTGCTGGGGGCCGCTGCCGCCTTCCGCGGGTGGTGGGCCGGGGACGGACGTGTGTTTGAGGACCGCTACCAGCGCAGGGTGCTTCGCATATGTTCCTGTCTATTGGGAAAGCCTTACGGCTGGTGCCGCCAACCCTGCCCTGAAGGAGGAGGAGGACGACGACGGCGACGGCGGTGGCGACGAAGGACGTTTGCTTGGGGGCCGCTGCCGGCGCAGGGTGCTTCGCCGATGTCGCCGCGCCGTTTGTGCCGACGCGCAGCCTTGTGACTTGTTTCCTGGGGAGGGCGCCGCGGGCACCTGGGCAAAAGCCGCCTCGGACGCAAGGTTCGCCGTGGGGTTTGCCGCGGTGTCGGCTTCGTCTACTTGGACAGCCGGCGCGGTGACACGTAATCGTTTCTAGTTCCGCGTATTCGCTAGACCCAGGAGCCCCGAGCCATCAGGAATCCCGTACCACCTTCTTCCTCCTCGTGTTCCCCCTCCTTGCGCTCAGGAAAGACCCATGGAAGAAACAGGCCTGACCCTTGGGCAGCGCAGGGGGGGAGGTGCTCAGCTCGGCTTGGAGCTGCCCGTGGGCGTTGTAATCCTCTCCCCCTCTCCTCTCGTTCCCCCCTCCTTCCTCCTCCCTTCCCCTCCTTGCTTCTGGTTCCCCGCCTGCCTCCTCCTGGCTTCTCTCAGCAGTCGGTACAGTATGTCCGCGATCGCGCGGCCCGGCTTGCCGTGGGCGGCGTCGCAGTCGACCCGCGCACACTCCAGGGCTGCGTTGGCGCGACGGTAGTTCACCGAGCGGCTTCTGGATCATAACCATGCGACGAGTGGCGATTGCGCGCGAGATCGGCGTGCTAGCAGGTCCCAGTCTTGCCAGGCAGGACAGCGCGACGGGTCGTTTGTCAAATGGAGCGACTTCGCGGGCCAGTCCTTGCCAAGATAAGCGAATCAACACTGAGCACGATCTTCGACGAACGGAGAGGTGGTCGTCGCATGCGCAGCCTGCGCGGTCGCCAGGGCTCGTGCGTCGTTGGATACCGTGTGGCGGCGAGAGACGGAGCACTATCTCCTATGCCACGTGTGACACGACGCAGAGAATCATGTTCTTCCTGCGTTTGCCCGCCGAGTGCGGGGGTGGATCCTCGCCAAGGCGGTGTGCTGCATCTGGTTTGCCACGTCCTGCACCACGTTCTCTGCTGCTACACGTCCCCCTTTTCAGTCCTTCCTTTTCACTCTCGGCCTCCCCGACCGTTCGGCCAAGGACCAAGCAGCAGTGAACGTCGGTAACCAGCTATAAGATTTCACTGTCAAGACTATTCGGCTCTGCATTTTATACAAGTGTCCTGTTGTCCTTGACACCCCTCACACCTCAGCGCTGTGGCAAGTTCCGTCTGTCACGAAACTGTTGCCTCATTCCAGCTGCCATGCACTTGCATTATATTGCTGTCAGTATGGCACACGCTGGCGTAACAATTATCCCGGCAAAGCAACCTAACAGCGATGTGTATAAGCATATCTGGAAGCATTTACGATTCAGGTGAGAATCCAGTTGTAGAATTCTGCTGTTCTCGCAGTCGCAGTCGCATTCGCAATGACAGTCACAGTGGCACCGGCCTTAGGATCCAATGGAATCCTAAGGATTCCTACGGATTCCTACGGCATCCTTAGGCATCCTTAGGAATCCATAGGAATCCTTAGGAAACCTTTGGAATCTTGATTCCTAGGGATTCCTGGGGATTCCTAAGGATTCCTAGGGAACCCTAAGGATTCCCAAGGATTCCTGAGGATGCTTTACCATGCTTACGGATTCCTAAGGATGTGTAGATTCTGTGTGTTGAACTGTTTGACACGCGTGCGTGCAGCGCCGGCGCTTGGGCTCGAGCAAAAGTGTGTGCCTCCCTCCCACGGCAGTTGCATCGGGGCGGGGGCGGCGATAGTGGCGATCGGCACTATCGATCGAGTTCGAGTGAGTGACGAACCCCAGGGTCCCACGGAGACGGCTGGGGATAAGTTCTGACGAGAACGAGGTTGGCAGCGGAGCGAGTGGTTGGCCCCACTGACTCCAGCAGAGACGACGAGCGGGACTAGCCATCCCATCGAGAGAAGTTTGTGGCCATGGCAAGTGACTACAACAACGCGGTGGATCCCAAGGTACCGGTGCTGAAGGGTGAGACGCTGAAGGATTTCACCCGGTACAAGCGCGCGGTGCAGGCCGCGGAGCTGAGCTGCGAGAGCGCAGAGCAGAAGAGAGCGCTCGGACCGAAGCTGTACCGCAACCTGCTGGGCGCGGATAACTCGATCAGCGTGCTGATCGAGCAGTCGGATCCTGTAGACTACGCGACCGAGGACGGCGCTCGAGTGCTGCTGAAGTTCCTAGAAGACCAGCGCTTCGCCAAGAGCAGCTTCAGAGAGCTGCCGAAGGCATTTGACCAGTTCTTCGACCAGACGCACTTCGAGCGCAAGGGTGAAGAGCCGATGGCAGCGTTCTGCACGGCGATGGAGGTAGCCAAGCGGAACCTCGAGGAGGTCGACCCGGACACGAAGATCAGTGCCAACGAGCTGGGCTACCACACGCTGAAGCGAAGCGGCTTGGACAGGGACGAGCGCAACTTAGTGATCGCCCGGGCGGAGGAGACGTTCGATTTCCAGAAGATCAGCATGACCTTGAAGAATCTCTTCCCCCGAGGCGGAGGCAAGCACCGAGAACGACAGGCTCGCGCCGGATGGCGCTGGGCGAACTACGCGGACGGCGATCCCACCGCGGACGAAGACGACACGGTCGACGAGTACTGGGTCCAGGACGACGACGGGTACTGGTACGAGTGGGACGAGGAGCGCGGCATCTACGCGGCCCTCGAGGACGACGACGACGAGTGGGACAACAGCGACCTGTTCTACATCGAGGACGGCGCGGACGCGTACCTCGCGAATGAGGACGACGACTACCACCAGGCCCTCGTCACGCTGCGCGAGAGCCGCTTCAAGATGAACAAGATCAGGGCGGCGCGCGGATTCTTCAAAGGCAAGATCGACGGAGTCGTGGACGAGAGTGCTGCGGCCGGCGGCAAGGCGGCCGGGAAGGGAAGCAAAGGCGGCGGCAAAGGCAAGGACAAAGGGAAGTCAAAGGATAAGAAGTGCGGCAACTGTGGCAGGATGGATCACGCTACGCAGGACTGCACGACGCCAAGAGCTTCCGGCCGACCGGCGAGCAAGGGCTTCAAGGGCCGCGGCAAGACGAGCAAGGCAGGACGTCCACGACGGCTGGGTTTCTGGGCCATGACGACGCTGGTGTGCGTCATGCCGGACCTGTTCAGCAACGGGGGTGTCGAGAGCCAGGAGGTCGCGATGGTGAAGGTCGAGGAGTCCACTGAGCACGACATCATGATGACCGACACCGAGAGCGACTACCACCTGCCCGACGTTCCCGAGGTCGACGTGATGATCTCGAGCGAGATCGTCTCGGCCTCCTTGCTGGACAGCGGGGCCACTGTGGCGGTGGCCGGGCGCGGCTGGCTGGACAAGCAGAAGACGGAGCTGGCGAAGTACGGCCTCGAGCCGATCATCGTGGACGCCGTCCAGAAGTTCAAGGAACTCGGCGGCGCACGACGCGAGGCCAAGAAGAAGGGGATCATGCCGATCGGGATCGGCAAGGTGCACGTGATCCAGGAGTACTTCGAGATCCCTGGCGACATGATCGGCCTGACGAGCAAGAAGAACCTGGCGGACTGGAAGACGAACCTCTACTTACGCGAGGACGGCCAGTGGGCCGACTTCGAGGAGCTGGGCCTGTACGACATGGAGCTGATGAAGCTGCCCGGAGGTCACGCGGGGATCGACATCCTCGACTTCGACCTGGAGTCGTACGAGGCGGACCCCCTGTTCGAGCAGTTCCGCATCAGGACCGAGAGCGTCCAGCACAGCGAGCCGGAGGTGTTCCTGGTGGCGGAGACGCTGCAGTCGGGGCCCGACTTCAAGCACCAGGACGACGCCGACCGGTGGGTCCAGGAGGCCATCAAGAACGGCAACAAGGGCATATTCAAGAAGAATACGCTCAAGAGGATCGACAGACTCATGAAGGAGTATGCGGTCATATTCGATGTGCTGCGCGACAATAACGAGACGTTTCTCTGGGGGCTGTTTGCGAAGGAGGCGCGTTTTACTCGTGTAGCTTCGAAGGGAGGTCACGCGAATGCGACCCCCTCGGATTTAACGACAGGTGTGAACTTCAACGACCCGAAGGTGCGATCGGAT